CCGCTTCGGACTCGAAGGCCGCGATTGGGTCGGGTTCCGAGGGGGCGGCCGGAGTTGTCGCCTGATCACGTCCGCGGGATTCGCGAAGGGGCTGCCTCCGTCGCGGATCCGGGCTGCGCGGTCCGCAACCGTGTCCGAGGGGTCTTCGTCCCGGCGTGGCTGGGCGCGGAGACTCTCTTCACCGTCCGAGCTCTCGTCCCCTGGCCGGTCATCCCCGTTCCGGCCTCCATTTGGGTCTCCATTCAGGTCTCCTGTTCGGCTTCCATTTGGGTGGTCCCGGTCTCCCCTTCGGTCTCCGCCGGTTCGGTCTTCGCCGCTTCGGTCTCCGCCCCTCGAGTCTTCGGCGGCGTTCTGATGTGCCCCGTTCCGGTCGTCGGGGAAGGAGAGCTGTCTGGTGTTTTTTTTGTTCCTGGGTCTCCAAGCTTTAGGGAGCCAGGCCTGTGCAGCCTTGCCGAGTGGGTTGAGGTAGCGTTTGCCTCGGCGGCTCTTGCGCGAGTGGGAGCTGTAGTTCGTGCCGTGGTCATAGCGGCCATCACTGCGGCTCTTGGTGAGTTCTCGATTGGCGGGTTGTCCCTCCTGGCAGCTGCGTCCGCGTTGGTGGTAACCGCGTTCCTTGAGTCGTTCCTCCTTAAGTTTGGCCTGCTGCGACCCCTCCATGATCTTCCGTAGCGCCATGTCTGTGGAAGACCCAACACAAAAATATGTCTCGGTCTCCGCACTGGATCCCGACCGACTACCAATGGAGAGCGGTGGTCTGGAGAAAACTTGAGGAGAACCTGTGCGACCAGAACCGTCATTACTTAGCCCTGACTCCGCCGCCGAGTGACTCAGTCCCAGCACGCTGTACCCTGAACCCGAGTTGGCGGGCCCTGCATATCCACTCATGTCCGAGTTGGTGAGACCCGAACTGCCGGCTCCCTCCACACCCCGTCTTGGAGACGGCCGTGCTTGAGAGGAGGATCTAGTTTGCGACGATGACCGCATGTCTAGAGGCGTTTTGGCTCCTGTCTTGTTTGGAACATCCTGGTCGGTCGTTGAGGGCGAGGTCGATCGGGCGGGGGACTTGGGGGGATCCATGGCGAGGAACATGTCAGTCAGAGCGGGCGGGAAGGAAGAGTGTCCTTTGTCTCTGAGAGTGATGACATCGGTCTGGACTTCTCGTATTTTGTCGAGGATGTCTTGAACGACGTGCGCAAGTGTGAAAAGCAGATCCCCTTCCGGGAGCAGCATCGGGTCCAGTATGGGATGATAAGCAAGCGTCCGCGTTCTTTTATCGTCAGTCTTCCTGCTGTGCTTCCAGCCTGCCGCAGCCTTGGTCGCCAACCCTGTCGCTAGCCCAGCTTTCGCAGCGAGACCGGCGGCCTTGGTCGTGGACAACGGAAATTTGCTTTGGCCAAAGACGACAGTGGGCAGGTCTTCGCAGCGGCATAGACTCAGCTTGACACCCGCAATGAGTCCCTTGTGCCTTATGCTCACACCCGATGTCGGCTTTGGTACTAAGACGGAACCTCGCGCCGGGAGCAGTGCTGGCAAACCGCCGGCGTAACGAAGTCGTGGGTTCGAAACCACCTTCGCCCCCCCACTCTCTTCCCCACCGAACTCCAAGTCGTACAGCGCCGTCAACGAAGCAGTCAACCGCTGCAACCCATCCAAGTGTACACCACTGTTCAACAACAACTTGAGAGATCCAGGGTAGCTACAAGCGTGTAACTTCATCAACGACAACAACGCCTCGTACAACGCCAGCCGGCTCCGACTACGCCCCCCCTCACGCCCTCCGTCTCGTCCTCCACCGCCACCGCCGTCTCGACCCCCACCCGCGCCTACGCCTCCGTCGCTGCTACCAGTGAAGTAGAAGTTGAAGAGTTTTGGGTAAAGGCTGAACAGAAACTCGTTCAGCACCAGCACGTCAGGCGCCGTGGAACCGAAACGTGTGGTATAACAATCGCAAACGCCGTGGCCTCCACCTCCGCCGTGGCCTCCACTTCCGCCGTGGCCTCCACCTCCGCCGTGACCCGGGCCGCCGTGACCCGGGCCAGTGTGACCCGCTCCTGTGTGGGGTAGCCAGTTGCGGAGCCAGTGGCTTTCGAAGTAGGCCTTGCGAATGAGATTACTGTCGTCTCGGAGTTTCATCCAGACGTCGAACTGGCGGGTCATGCTCGGGTTCAGTACGCTGACGAATTCGTAGTAGCGGTCAGCGTTTGGTTTGGGCACAAGGCAGAAGCAGAGCACGCTCTGTGTAAAGAGCACAGCGTACTTGGCGAGTAAGAAGCGTCCTTCGATCAGCGCCAGCGGCAGCAGCTCTTCCAACACATAGCTCCCCGGTCCTGACAGTCTACTCGGTCGCGAGTCTTTTCCGGGAGACTTATCTCTTGCTCCGGGAGACTTATCCCTTGCTCCGGGAGACCGGCCCTGTTCAGAGAACCTGCCCTGTTCAGAGAACCGACCCTGTTCAGAGAACCGACCCTGTTCAGAGAAATTTCCATCTTCACCTGCGTCCTCCGACGAATAAACGTCGTCCGGTCCTTCGCGCGCGTTGGCGACCGTATCGCACAGAAGGTCGAGGAAGGCGGCATATTCATCGGCGAGTTGCGTGAAGCCGTCCAGTGCTGCGCTCCAAGGCGGCCCGGACGGCGCTGGACCGGCCGCAGGGGTCTCGACGACCGCCTTAAGGTTTGCGACGGCGCCGAGTTGTTCCAAGAAACCATGGAGCCCTGCGCGCGTCTTGAGATAGCGTGCGTATAGGAACCCGAGACTCCTCCAGCGCCGCTCCTTCTCCTTTACGTAAATGAGGACCGAAGAAATCTTCGTCAGCACCGGATCCTCCCACGCCGAATGACCTTCCCACGCCGGCACCTCTCCTGCGCCAGGGCCACCCGGACTGGGGGCGCCGGGATTGGGGGCTGGGCAGCCGCCACCGGCTGGGTAGGGACCGCCTGGATCGTAGGCGGCCTGCAGAGTTAAGAGCAGCCGGTGGACGACCAGGAGCAAAACCAGTGCGCCCACGTTGTCTGTCTTGGACGCCTGTAGCGCCTGTTCCAGCTGACCAAGTGTCTTGACCAGATGTGCGGCGTCGCCCTTCTCCGCTGCCCGCCCCATCATGTCGTCCGTTCGCGAAGCCAGCGAGGCTGCGCTGTAGCTCAGCGGGTTCAGAATTATGTTGCACACGCGTGTGCTGCTCGTTGAGGAAGAGGAATGGCCCCCTCTTGGCATGTATTTTTAAGACGCCTCACGTGTGTGTGTCGCCTCGCGCCGCCACCCACTTGATTTTTCCGGACTCTAATTTATAACCTCTTCTCAAGTGGGCAACACTGCGAAGCCTGCATTAAAGACGATCTGAGAATTAGTGAGCCTTGCCAAGCACCCACGCACGCACTATCCACCCAAGACCGAAGAGCTCCTCTCGCACAATCGCGTTCACACACATCTGTGTATAACCAGCGCACGTGTGTGTTGGACCGGTCAGTCCATGTTGAAATGCTGTTGTCGTGCCTCTGTGGTGTCGGTGTGTTGGCCTCTGTGGTGTCGGTGTGTTGGCCTCTGTGGTGTCGGTGTGTTGGCCTCTGTGGTGTCGGTGTGTTGGCCTCTGTGGTGAACTTTAGTCCTTTTAGGTTTTTTGTCTGAATAGAAGAGAAGAGAAGAGGTGGTTTGTAGAGAGACTTCGTGAAATGGGTTTAAGTGACATCCCTGCGAATAACGACTACCGTGAGTGGGGTCAGTTGTTGGCTTCGAAAGCATCTAAGGCCTGTGGGGAGGCGAATGTCTTAAAGACGGCGAAGTACTCGATGGGTATAGATGTGTTCAACGGTTTGAGGCACGACAAAAGCGTGGAGAAGATGGTGGGTTGGTTGACAAGTGTGTCGAGTAGGACGAGTTACCTAAACACACGTTGGTACAGCATATTCCTGTTGGTTGTGTGCGTGTGCATTTTGATTTACTGTGTGGTGGTGGCTTGTGCTGTGAGTAGCAAAGTTCGAACGGCTTATAGTAAGGCGTTTTGTGGCCTATTTGGAGATGTGGGTCAGCGACCGCGGCTGACCCAGATCCGGAGAGGCACACGTCTTCGTCTAGTTTCTTTCGCGTTTCTTGGCTTGGTGATTTTGGCTGTGTCCGGTGCGTTCGGATTTAAGGCGAGTCATCAGGTCATGGATAGTCAACGCGTCGTCAACTGTAATCTCTGGGCGCAGCTGAATGGACATTTCAATGGGGCGTTGAATTTGGATGCCGGCGACATTCGGGAGATCAGCAACAACTGGCTGGGGACGCTACCCATTAGAGACCTACTGACCAGTCTTGATGGGAAGACCGTCGGCGGCCCGGAGAACAGCATTTACTTGAAGCTGAGTGCAGGACGTGATCAGCTCAAGGCCAATTTGACGGAGGCCCAGGAGGTAATGACTTTGGCTCTAGAGAAGGCCGGTAATTTGACCGCCGACTGGTCCACTGAAATAACGAAGCAATCGACGGCGCTGAAGAAGCTGGACGCTTTCGGGCCGAACAAAAGAGTGGGCAATCGAAAGACTTTCGACATGACGCTAGGCATCCAGCAGGTCTTTGAAGCTAAACATGATGCGTTCATCACACAACTGGACGAAGCACTCACACAAACATGGAACGTGACCGAATCACTTATCAACAAGTACGCCGGTACCGGCTCAGCTCTGATGAGTAAAGCTAACCGTGCTGTACAAAGCACCAAAACAACTGTCAACCAGATCGATCGTGCGTTTGCCAAAATGGTGACCATGTGGAACAAGTATAATGGCAAGGTCAAGGCACTGATGCAAGCCGGGGCTGTCTTGGCGGCTCTCGGTATCGCCTTTGGGCTTACCGGTGCTTTAATAGCGGTCCTGGCGAGTTGGAAGTTGGGTCATGACATTAAGAAGAACATAATGCCCAAACGCTCGGCAGTGATAGCGTGGAAAGTTGCGTATGTGTTTACCGTGATTGCTGCAGGCATAAGTGCTATCGCACTAGGGATTGAATTCCTAACTGCGGTTATCGGTCGAGATGCATGTGACACGGCGAGTAACGAATTGTTAACAGAAGGGAACTGGGGCCTGTTGCCGAAGGAAATGTTGCACCCCGTACCAGATGATGAGGAGGTGTATATGCCCTTGGTCTATGACGTGTGTGTCAAACGTGGTGGTTACGGCACAATTGGTATGAGTCTGGGACTGGATGAACCGATTGCGACTTTGACTGAAGACGTGGATGTGGCCTTGGCCGACATCGACGGACAACGTGAAGGCCTATTGGAACGGAATCGGCGTTACGTACAGATTCATTCTATAGGTATCATGCTGCGAGAAATGCTTCGCGGATTCGTGCCCAAGAAGGCCTACGAAGCCGCGGACAGAAACGTCATGCCTATTCGCACTTTTGACAAACTAGCAAGTGTTACTCTGGAAGGTCATCAATCGGACACCCAGGGTTTACGATACATGCTTGGTATCATTCCCTACTGGACCGACCCCGCCGTACTCGTAGTCGGAGCGATGCCTTGGGGCCAAAACCTCGCCTCGCTCGAAGATGCCTACAACCTCTTGAATGACCTCTCGGACAAGGCAATGGCAGCCAACTCAAAGTCCCCAATGCCTAGGTTCTGTGGTCAGTTCGCACGAAGTCACAACATGACCTGCAGCACCCTTCCCGACGACGACGGAACAGGCCGCGTGGTCGTGGACCTAGCCAACTTGGAGACAAATGCTGATAACACTCTGGCCTGGGTTCAACAACTAGACACCGATGTGCCAGTGTACAATGGTCACTACGGCAATACCACCCAGCGTTCATGGAATACCCTCGAAAGCACTCGCTTCATGGAAATACTCGCCGCAAGCACACCTATCACCGAAGCCATCCTCAACAGGACCTGCGATGCACCAGAACCTAATGCGTACCCTACACACGGCTACACCTTCAATCCACGAAACAAGGGACGCAGACAACTTGAGGCCGAAGATGACGTTAGTACAGACGACGACGACACGCCTTCGTGCACTGTTGGACAGGTGCGCGATGTCGATTTGGTCAACTTCGAAAATTACTTCAACTCGTTTTACGCGTCATACAATGGAGTGGTGGCCAACGTGGACGAGTATGTTGACGGATTAGTAAAGCCAAGTGTCACCGAGTTGGTGGATGAGGCCAACTCGATTTTGACGCGAACCAACTGTCAATTCGAAGGCACGACACTGGATAAGGCTGTGGTCGACCCCATGTGTAACTCGCTCTTTCCCGGGTCGACAGTGCTCAGTATTATCCTCACAATCACCACCGTCGTGCTAGGTCTACTCGCCGCACACATCTGGCATTGGACGCACTACGTCATTGATATCGTTAACGACTACGAGAAGAACCCCTCCTCCTTCGAACAGTTGGCATCCATGAAAAACAGACCCGACTACATCAGCTACTCCGGCATGCCCTCCGTCAACCAACCCAACGCTGAGAAACAAGCTGAAAATCAACAAGTGGTCAATCAACGTGCACCCCCCGTGGCGACTCCCACAAACCTTGGACCCGAGCGCCAGGACGTGCTCCAGGACGACCTCGCACCCGTCGTTACGGAACTTGAAGGATCACACACCGCGTCACCTCGGTCATCAGCCGAGGGCTCGCCCGTCATGAGAAAAGCGGTCTACAACGGCGCCTCAGAGCTGGAACCTGCCCGCAATGGTACCTACAACGCACCACACCCTGTAGCGGAGGATAGTTTTGTAACCATTGAGGGATACGAGTGAACGAACCTTCGACCATCAACCGTCGACTTACCATGCAGAGGCACCGTGAAGACTCACCGTGAAGAGTCATCATCCGGAGCCAGCTCATGAAGAGTGAGTCCATGAAACAACCAGACAAAACCTGAGCAAGCAGAATCAGACATGAAGAAGAAGACTCGGTTGTTGAACTCGTGAGCACTCAACCATGAAGTCGTGAGCACTCAACCATGAACTCGTGAGCACTCAACCATGAACTCGTGAGCACTCAACCATGAACTCATGAAGTGTGAACTCATCGAACGCCGACTCATGAAGAGTCAATTCGCCACTCACTACAGAGTGCCAATTCAATTACAACGTCGGTTCGGCTCGAACGGCCAACCTACAGCTTCAGATAGCTGACGGATATGATCTATGTTCCAAACTGCGGGAACATGTTTTTTTGTTTGAACCAAAAGTAAATCCGTGAGTAAAGGCATCTGTTGACCTGCATCTGTACACAGGGTATGAAGAAGGGGATCAAAAAATACTCTGCTTGTGAACTTACCGGTGGGCTACTGTGTACAGCACTGTGTACAGCGTCTACTACTGTGTACAGCGTCTACTACTGTGTACAGCATCTGGTACTTGGGTTTAATTAGCGTCTGACACAGGTCATGTCTCGCGTAGGCATGAGCGGGGAGACAGGGTGGTCTTCGACTGGTCCCCGCCGGAGTCGGTCAGCTAGCAAGGGTATTTGGCAGGCTTACATTACAGGACAATTCTTTAGTGTATGCAAGGCGGCTTTATGGTGGTCTACGGTAGGTCTGTTGTCAATGACATTGTTGGATAGTGAGTTGGGATTGGGTGCGACTCGTGGTGCCTTCAATGTGGCGTTGTTATTAAGTTCCCCATTGGCGGTGCAGGCTGCTGAGGATCTGGCGTTGCGTCCGTTACTGTTGCACACAACTTCTCTCCGTCTCGCCGTCTGGTCGGTCGGAGTTCCGATTCTTTACTGGCTCACTGCTACCGGGTTGGCTGGGGACGACGGGACAGACAAGATCAGGCTGCCACCCGCAGCCCTCTGGACCCTCGTCTGTGCTGCCACCTTCATTGACGGCATCGGCGCAGCATACGCCAACTCCGTTGACATCGACTGCGGCGGCCTAGATATCCTCTCCGCCAAATACGACCTACGACTCACAGACTATGTCCGCTTTAAATACACCAGTCTACACCAAGCTGTCTTCGACGCCGCCTTCCTCGCCTTCGTCACACCCTTCATTGCCCTCCTCTACTTCCTCTCTACCCGCACCCCCCTCACCAACTACCTCGTTCCTCCCCACATCGAAGACAGTAAGTCCCACTCACGCCCACTGGGTGTA